AGGAAGCTGGGGGGTTACCCGGCCCTTGGGGTACAGATGGAGGAGAGGGATCCTCCTGGGATGGCTGGAGCGGTGACAAAGAGACACTACCCTTAATTTCTTTAGAAGAAGCTTTGGACCCTGGACTGGGATCTGTGCCACCTACAACAGGCCCCTGGAATCCAGAGACGACGAACCCCTTTGCAAATAGTTTGTGGACACCATTAAAGCCAAGTCATGTTTTGCAAGAATCCCTGAACCCCTTCATAGGGGGAAATCCGGTTGATGTTAATGCAGAAATAAATACGGAACCTTTTGATTTACCTCCCATGCCTCGTCCGTTTATTGGGGAGAAAGCAGCCCTTCCAAATGAACCCTCACACAGGGTTATAAATTATCTCTTGGTGATGACTATTTCTGTTCTGAGTCCTGTCCAAGGAGATCTGAGTAGCAGCCGAGCTTGGTTCTTCCCTACCCATCCATGTTATCATCACAACAATCCCTATGAGGTAGATTAGATAGAGAGGTAGTGACCGGCTCAAAGGCATCCAAGCAATCCTTTGCTGCTCCACAGATATTAGATCCAAGAGTCTCCCCAGACCAGCCCTTCTCAACCTGGCCGCCTCTAGCTGTGTTGGATTATGAATCCCTAGCCAGCATGGGTGACAGAGAACTGAGACATTTTTCTTGGAGACATCTGAAAGTAAAATAGATGAATGCAGTGTCTTGCTCTGAGAGTCTGGGAATCAGCTTGGTACTAATAATGGCACTTCCCCCTCCCCCCACCTCCGGAATGATGAGAGGGATTTATGAGTGTTGGAGAATTCCAATAACTGTTGAAAAATCTGTACATTAAGCAGAGCTTCTGGTTGTTTCTATCATTCCTTCTATTTCCACCTATGTTTAGGTGGTGAGTGTTTAAGAGATGTTTATGACAGCACAGATTCCATCCAGGCTTTACAAAGTGCTGATTTAGAGGAACAAGTGAAACTCCCTCCAGAGACCCAATTTGGGGAGCAAGATCCATCTGCCACAAATCTCTCACTTTCTCTCCCTTTTTTCTCTTTCTCTCCCCCCCTCTGCTTGCTCTGCCCCAAACTAGTAATGGGGTTGGGGATAGGGCAGGGCAATGGTATGGAGCAGAGTCTCTGTGTCTTAGTATAAGATGGGATCAGGTTGCAGCATCCCAGGGACTTTTAGCTTGTACGTTTCTTTCCTCTTTTTCATTTTATCTTCTGGCCAGCACTGTAAAGTGGGTTAATCTAAGAGAGAGAAAGTGAATGCCCCAAAATTACTCACCAATGTTCCTGGTTCTCCCTCCACCTCAGTCCTAGTCTGGCATGTCAATCGCTAAACCATACATTTGACTGAAAACTTTAAGTTAATTAATCCCTTTGGTTCTCAGGCTTCTCTCATACCTCAGGAATAATTCAGCTGACTTGTTATGTACCCCAGACTGAAACCCTACGCATGCTTATTTGAGAGATAGCACCTTCCAATATAGTTCTGAGTAAATATGAAGA